TTTCTTTCTTTCTTTCTTTCTTTCTTTCTTTCTTTCTTTCTTTCTTTTTTTCCTTCCTTCCTTCCTTCCTTCCTTCCTTCCTTCCTTCTTGGTGCCTTCAAGTCAATTCAACTTTTATACTGGTGCAGGCTTTCAGGTTGTTATCTGTTGGGCAGTGTTGAGCTCGAGATTTTAGTGATCATGGTCTGGACAACAAATTTTCTGACATTACATTGGAAACCAGCATTTAACAGCAAATAGATCATTGCCTACATTGCCTACAAAGATACAAGATATAGTTGCTGGCAAAATGTCAGGAAATTTGTTGTCTAGACTACAGTCGCTAAACGCTGACGCCTACTGTTTTCTTGGCAAGAAGAAAATCACAACACCAAAGTGACTCATACAAGACCCTTATGAGCTAGTACTCTATTCAGAATGATCTAAGTAAGATGGGTGGTATAGATAGAAATAGAAATTGATATGGAAATGGAAGGAAGGAAGCTTTATTTCACCCCCTGCCATTTGTATGGGAATTATTTATTATCAGAGAAACTCTTCTCCATGATACCTACACCTCCCTATTGAACAGGATCAATTGTTGGTCATGTTTCACCATTGATACAGACTGGTAGAAAAGCAACTCAAGCAAAAAACAAACCAGAAAAATTAGAGATACTGCTGTCTCTCTGCATTAGGAATAATTAAACATCTTTCCCCACTCCTATAGAAGAGATATTTTAATTTCCCCTTCACTGCAACGTATGCTATATTCTGTCATGCCCTCATACTGCCCTGTCTCATCCTCATCATGTAATTTGGGCAGTTTAAGTCAGGGGTGAGATACGACAGGGTTAACTACCTCGGGATTTACGAGCTTCCCTGCACGCTGGGAGCCGCACGCCTGTAAATCATCATCAGCATGCTGTGTGCAGAGATGCAGCCTTTGAAATAGCCCTCTCTTTCTGCTTTTTAAACTGCAGCTGTGCCTCATTAGGCAGCTGAAATTGAAAAATCAGGAAATAAAGATCAGGTAAAAGCCCGGGTGGGCAGGTGGGCAAAAACATCAGCAGACATAGAACCGGTTCTATGTCTGCTGCTCTTCAGAGCTACTGGTTCTACAGAGGTGGACAGAACCGGGAGAAACCCACCCCTGAAGTGTTCTAGTTTTAAGTATTTTCTTTTTCTCTCAACACCATTTCTGCCATGGATGCAATCTGGCATGCTTCACCAATGATGCAATTGCCAATATGGTCAGTAGTTGGGATATACCCAGCTCTGATGGGTCATTTTAGCCTGCAATGAACATGCTTCTTCCCTTCCAGTCATTAATCCTGGAATCCTCCTGGGACTTTCATGGTCATTTTGGCTTGTGCTGCAAGACAGACTGGACACAACTGGGAACAGGGCCTGAATAACCTTACTCAGGGCCAACAAGACAAACTTCACTGACATATAGGCAAGATTAACAGAGGCAGATCCAGAATAGTACATCAATCAGAGATGCAATGAGCCAGAATAATAGGCAAATTATGGGCTACTTTGAGTATTATTTGTAGAGTTTATTTTCTGTAGTACTGTAATCTGCAGAGTTTTTAAAGCAGTACTGGGAGGCCATACTCTGATAAATTAAGAAATTACAGTATATGAATTGCTCCTTAAATTATAAGATTCCCACAAACTGTATCTTTAAATATGAAGTATATTTGAAAGTATATGATGTTACAAGGATGAACCCTTTTCCCTCTGGCCATTTTCAATCCTAAATAATTCATTGCAAGTTGGTTTCTTTCCTCATGCACTCACATTTTACACAGAGATCCAGATCCAGAGAAGTCTGCACATGTGTTGTAGTCTTTCTGTTTATGCCCCTTCCCTTACCATTTTCCCCTTAAGAATATCTATCAGTTCTCAGAAGGCACTATGGAATTCATCAAGAATAGTTCTTTTATATTCTGTGTTCCACATTGTTCTCTCTATAACCTCATATTAAACCCTTATGCTAAACCTAATCTTGCTCTCTGTCAATGATGAGTCCTCTTTAAAGTTAGCTTTTCTCAACTTAAAACTGAATTGTTGAACGAGGATACCTGTAATTCCCCAGAATTTTGAAAGGTTACCATGTATGACACTCAAATAGGTTACTTACTTGATGGCATAATTGCACACTAAGTAGACTGCTTGTTGCCATGTGTTGCCCCACACATTTATGTTGGTACAAGTGTGGACAGCACAGCCAATTCTGTTGCTGGAAGCCCACACCATCTGTTAGAAAGACATTAACACATTTTTGTAAGAGAGACGTAGATATAAAACCAAAAGAATTTACCAAAAGCAAAGGGATGCTTATCTTTTACATAATGTGAAAGGCTTATTCGACAATGGTTATTAGCCATAAATGGAATTTTTACATGCTCTGGATCAGGGTTCTCCAAACTTGGAAACTTTAAGACCTGTGGACTTCAACTCCCATCATTCCTCAGCCAATTTGGAGACCTCTGCTCTGGATGATATTATTCATACCCATCAGTAACTTTGGGATGGGAAAGCAGTAAGGAAACTGCTATTTAGTGATAACTGATATATATAGTATTTCCTATATATCTATGTCTCCCTTAGTGGATTTCAAGAAGCATTTGGCTACCTGCTCAGGGCCTAGAAAACAGGACTATACAGTTTCTACATTACAGAACTTTGATCTGTCTCAGCTGGACTTTTCCTATGTTCCTTTTATGGTATCCGCTAAAGGTTATAGTCTAGGTCAGCCTTCCCCTAGAGAAGGATGTTCTCCAGATGTGTTGCACAGCAACTTCCAAAATTTACAATCAATGACCATGCTGACTGTGGATAATGGGTGTAAGAAAAGACTGGCAAAGACTGATCTCTTTAACCAAACTTTGATGGACCTTAATAACTAAAAGTTTCCAAAAAGGAAGCTTTGATAATGTGTATGGAGGAAGTATTCTTGCTACCAATGCTTAAAATTATGGAAAGGTGAGGTTACCATCTGGTGGATATTTAGCAACATTTCAACACATCATTCTATTTTTGGACAAGCAGAAATAGGAAGAAAGGAC